ATTTCAAGGTTCCTGCACGGCGGCACTGCCCTGCTTTGGCGACGGCACCACCGCCCGCGACGGCAGTTTGCCTCAACCTGGTTGTTTTCGGACGGTACTTGAGGAGTTTTGTAATCTCTAAAGAAAAATTCAGGGAACCCGGAGACCGTTAGTAGACGCAACTAAAAGTCTAGTTATTCGGGCACCGATTCGAGTAAAAATTCCTCACTCTATTACCTGTTATGGAATTGAAATCTAATTATAAATAATATGATATTTTGTGTAATTTAACAAATTTTAATAATTAATTAGAGGTTGCTAATGGAGGCAAAACCGGTTATTTATTACTGTTTGTCATGTTTTAATTGATTGTTTGATCTTATAATTTAAACGAATAATAATACACTGAAATTTGTAAGATGATTTAATTGTGTTTTGTTAATGCATGTATTGCTTGTTTTGCGTGATTTACAGTTAAATTGTGAAACTGAAAAGTTAATATAAACGAAAAATTACTTAATTAAGTGAATGAATGAAGGGTAGTCTTAGTGGATATCCTGAGATATGGTAGACGGATCGGATACATGGGAAACCCTACCGTAAACGCTGTCTCATATCAGATGGAGTATCGATGATTGGGATTTGGGCACTCATACCAAACAGGGTATGCGAACGACCCGTTTCACTCTCATATCGGACGGGGTATTGAGATGTTGTATTTTTTGCTCTCATACTGGACGTAATATGGGGATGACCCGTTTCACCTTCATACCGGACGGGGTATTGAGAGATTATATTTTTGGCGCTCATACTGGACGTAATATGGGGATGACCCGTTTCACTTTCATACCGGACGGGGTATTGAGAGATTATATTTTTGGCGCTCATACCGGACAGGGTGTGGAGTCGAACGGTTAGTTGATAATGTTAAATAAGGGTTCACGCGTAGTTGAGACATCCCTACAGAACCTCATGGATACCGGTAGACAGATAAAAAGGAAAAATTATTATTCTGGCTAATTGAAAATGAGATTATGATGTTGTTTGTGTTATTGCTTCCATAGGTCGATTTTGAAAATCTCGCTACGGTAAATATGTAATAAATAATTTTATTTATAATAAATGAATTTACTTAAATTAAGAGCTCCATTATTTGTTTTTATGATTTTTACTAACTTTTATTTATGTATCGGTGAGTAGTGTTATGGGGTTAGTATAACTCACAATTTCGTTAACAATTTCAGATCAAAATGATCAATATTCAAATTCCGATCAACAAATAGATTGTGAATAGTTCACCATCCGAACTCCCTTCAGATGCTAGTGAAGTTCGTTCTATGACACTTGATCGCTTATTTTTCATTTATTTCTTAATTTTTTACTTGTTCTTTTAGAAGGGTCATTCTCGTATCCCTATTGGATATTCTAAATTATTGTGTAAGGAATGTAAATGTTAACTTTAGTTTTTCACTTCCGCATTCAATTTATAATTTACATATCTAATAGATTATATAAAAAAATAATACATAGTTTTAGAGTTATGCTATTATATTAAACACATCTAACTTTAGATAACACAACATTTTATTCTCTAATATTTCTATTTTTCAAAAAATTGAAGACATAAATGTAAAATGACAATATTGGGTACGAGTCTTCGTGACTAGTTGTTGCAATATATTTTTTTATAATTTGATTTTGTCAACTGCTATATAATAATATTAATAATAATAGAAGATATTTTAAAGTAATAAATTTTTTTTAAAAATATGGTTAGGAGGGGAATCGTGGAGTGGAGTGTACATTAAATGAGGATAAGGATTTCCCTACCTTATATGTTGTACGAAATGCATGTCACATGATTTTGTATCATATTAAACATCATATATTATATCTTTACATATATATATACATATATATCCAAAACAAAACACTTGAACTTTAATGATTATGTATTTTCTTTTTGGATACGAACATGATTGTGTCTTATATTTATTTATTTATTTATAATATAGATCTGTATATCATAATTTCCCCCTCAATTCAAGTTATGTCCTTCTTTAATAAAACTCAACTTGATTTTTCTCTAATTTTTTATACAATTTATTGAGTAAAATATAAGTGAAACTATAATAGAGTTTCATTGACTTTTTCCCAAAGAGTTATATATATATACATTTTTAAAAAATAAAATAAAATAATGTAATGATATATAGTAGTTGCAAGACAAAGGTTGACATCATCATTAAATTTTTCATATTATAAACTCTAGAATAAAAAGTTGAAAAAGGGGTCAAAATAAAATTATATATATAACCCCCGGAATAAAACATACGGAAAAAACTGTTTTGGGGCTTGGTACGGGTGTAAGTAGGCGTACAAGATTGAAGTGGGCCTGTTTTGGGGAAACCGCCCGAGGCCCAAATTCCGGAATACGGAAAAAACTGTGCCACGTCATCACATGCTCACGTCACTGCGAACGTATGGTGTCCGAGGTGTAGTGGCGGAGCTTTAACGCTTATTAGCTGACCGGCCATCTTTTCAACAAAATGATTTAAGCAAAAAGCCAAAAATTCTTACTATAACGTAAAATTCCGAATAATTTAATTACACGGGAGAGACATTGCCAGGTGCGTGATAATAAATACGGTGGTTGATTGGTCTTAACAAAAGTATTGGTATTCACACATTTACCCCCCAAAAAAATACAAAATTACAGAACTTACCCAATTCCCTTTCCTTCATTTGACTGGTTATGAAAAATAATTGCATTTTGGTCATTTTGTCAGTGTTTGACAAAGAGTGAGGGCTGGGCAATGTTGATTGCCCGCCGATCATTCATCAGTTAGAAAAGATGGTTTTACTCGTCTGCACAATAAAGAGTGTGGCTCCGAATAATTTTCAATCGTTAGACACTCATTTCAGTAACTGAACAAGGTGTGTGGGGAGGGGGGTAATGGAGATACGAAGTCACAAACAGTCTACAACTTGCCTAAAAGATCACAAATTCTATTCCAAAACTATTTCCATTGTTTTTCTCAGACACCCTGAAATGCCTACACAACAGTTACCTGTTAATACAGCAACAATCATGATACACCAAGTAAAAACCAGAATGGATCAAGCACCTTTATCTGTCTTCCTATAAAGAAGAAATTGGGTGTACTAGAGAGGCAGAGAGAGAGAGAGAGAGATTGACCTATTAGTCAATGGTCATTCCTCAAATCCTCCTATCGCTTGGATGGTCTCTCATCATCCTGTCCGCCATCATCACCATCGTCAGAGTCATCCCTGTCTGATCTCTTCCTCTTTGGAGGATTCTCAACTTTTCCTGCACCTTCATCATCTTCAACCTCGTCATCTTCACAAATATCCTCATCCTCAATGCTCCCTTCCTGCTGAAAATCACTGTCATCTTCCTCCTCTTCAGCAGGTGCTATTGGTTGAACGAAGTAGTTTGTTCCCAAATCCTCCTACATGGTAGATACTTATGTTGTTAAATTAACAGTTATTGAAGGATCTAGATATGGACAGACAGCAAAATACTACTCTGGTGTAATTGATGTAAGCAAAATAATTTAAATAAAGTGTATGGAGTTGCCATCATCACAAGCACAGGGAAGGGACAGTTCAGGACAATATGAACAAGGCAGTCTAGGTTTTGTAGTTTCGAGTGCATTAGACTAACATAAGTTTATTCCCCAGGTGGTCAAACAAACAAAATATGCTATTGATAAGAACTTGAAGGAGGAAGATAAGATATTAATCAAAGTAATCCGTAGGGCAAAAGGAACTCTAACAACAGCATCTAGATGATGTTTTATAACACTGCTAAAAATTGCAAACAAGACAACAGTCATGATCAAACTACAGAAGATCCAATCATATTTCTAAATCATTTTAATTCGATGGAGAATCGAGATTACAGATGACAGCACAAAAATAACAACATTTAAACAGATTGTGAGGGATTCCATGCCAAAAAGCACCCCAAGAAAGATAAAACACGTGTAAATAAAAAATGAGGAAGATAAAGGTCTGATTAGTTTACAGGGAGGAAACATGATACCAGATTTGAATTCTTCTGTTAACCATAACAGAAGACAAAAAAACTATACAATATGAACCGCGTTCGCCTAGAAGAAAAAAAGTAAAGGGAAGGAGAACAAAGAAGACATGGCTAAAAAGTAAAACCAGCAATACTGTGAGAACTAGCAAACCTGCAAATAGTTTTTCTACATCAGCAAAATCTGGAGAGATTTAAAAACAAGGTCAATTAGATAATTCATAACTGCATTTACATCAGATCTGGGGTACACTCGTAGTAATACGAGTTATTTTCATATTAGAAAGATGACGTAAGTATCAAGTGCCACAAAGAAACCCTGTTATAGAGCGAAAATTCCAAGAGAAAACTCAGCCCTCGCAAATATTTCAGAACACAAGTTCATGAACATGGAGGCAATGACAGAAAATTACGGATAAGCAAATATTGGAGGAGAAGGTTAAGATCGAAGAAAAAGGACATTATAACAGGAAAAATCTAATGTGATTTCTTCAAGTAAACCATAGAAACTAGTCCAGAGCTTGATTTTTGTTTTCAGAAAATCAACGAAATTAAACAACTACACGAGCAAATGCGGACTATTTCCATACACACGACACTGAATCAGATATTCAAACACCAAATCTAGAGATTTTAACTCTTACAACAACTGTAAGTCTCAGGATTTTAAGTAAGCAGCATAATGAAGTATGTATACAGAACGAAGTGATTTTAACGCCGAATCACTAGAATCTCGGATGTTTACCTCTTCCTTCGCTTCCTCGTCCTCTTCGTCGCCGTTTCCGTCACTGTCATCATCGTTACCACCATCCTCGCCACCGTTGTCATCCTCGTCATCAACTCATCATCTTCATCTCATCATCATCGTCATCGTCAACTG